AGATTTCTCTTTTCCAGTCTTTCAACTACTCCTGGGACATATTAATCTTCATTCAAGGTCATTTTCCCTAGACATGCTTCAGGGTTGGAATATGCCATTTAAAAATTGGCAGCAGAATTAAGTGCAAAACTTCCATTATGTCTGAAGATCTTGGAGAACACTGTTAATGTCCCTGCTCTTAAACCTGGGTTCTATCCAAGATGGTACTAGATCTTTTGGAAGGTGACATTCTTAGTTCATTTTTAACCAGTTTCCCCCCTTTTCAACAGTCTCTATATCTTGTTTTCCTGTCCCCACAATTCAGGTCATTCACATGAACTGCTATCAAAGCAAGTATCTCTCATTCTTAATTTAATTATTGATTCTTTTTAGACTGCAAGACTTTTTCACTTATCTCTATTAAATCTCAACTTATCTTGATTAGTTTATATTTAACGTCTATGTGTCAGTTTTATCATTTATTTCTCCAGTTCTATGTGATGCAAAAATTTGATTTATCTGATTCCTAATTGTGGGAAGTCTTATGGAGGTCACAGCCTTGTCTCACATATGAGTATAGATCTCAGGGAGCTCCATCCACCCAGCAATGTGGAGATAGCTGTTCCAAACAGCTACACATATGCCTAACTGCATCACCATGTGTTCCAGACTTCCCCAGCCTATACACATTGAGTATTATTTGAATTTCATTTCAGTATCATTACAATACAGCAAAAATTCTCTGATCAGCAACCTCATTGAAAAAGGCAATGGGGTAGGGACTGATATAGTTTAATTTTTGTGAGTCTGAGTCTGGTAGTCACTGTTTTTGCTTCCTCCTTGCCATCCTTTCCACCTTCTCCTGGATGAGACTCCTGGCCCAGCTCAGAGGGCACCTATTCTAGAGTCTCCCTGACTTGTCATCCCTACTCCCAGCCAAGACTGGATGCTCTGTCTTTGGAGTAACATCATATTCTGAGCTATCTTAGTCCCAGCATGCACCATGATAAGCGTTATCACCTGTCTTCCTATACCGGACGCTCCATGAGGACAGGGACCTTCCTCTGCTACCTTCTTGGCAACACTGGTGCCTGCCAGACAGTGCTCAGTAAGGGCTGGTTGCAGTGCAGTAGGTTCTCCCCAGCTGGCTGCTTGACGCTGAGAACACAGGGCTTACCTACCCATGGAGCAGAGCTGGGAAGGCAGCTACAGGTCGGGTCTTGGAGAGGTACATTGTGATACCCAGGCACGATCCACCCTCAATAACCTGAGCTCATGGGATCACTGCAGGACCTGAGGCCAAGTGAGAGTGAGATTGGGGAACAGGAACCTGTTGAGTCCCCAGAGGAACCCAAGGTGCAAAGGGAGTGAGGAATTCAGAAAGGGTTTAGAAAGAGGTGGTTTTATAGGAAAAGAGTCAGGAAGGAAGGGATGCTGTCAGATCAAGGAATGGGTCATGGCAGCAGGAGCTTAGGGACTGGGCTGACCTGCTATATTGGCAGCTCAACATGTTCTATGGAAGAAAAGGCAGGTGGGCAACAGGCTGGTCAGAAGCAGGTCTAGCAGTTGTTTTAGGCATGACAAGCCAGGTGGTTCTGTGTCCACTGTTTATTTGGGACAGCTTTGGGCGGGTTGATGGAGATTATGGACACACTGCTTCTTCTTCATGGAAGTGATTTCTTTCTTTTTTTTCTTCTTCTTCTTCTTCAGTACCAGAGATTGAACTCGGGACTTTGCACTTGCGAGGCAGGCGGTGGCACCACTGAGCTAAGTCCCCAGACCTGGAAGTGATTTCTTACTGTCACCCATAAGACATTACTGTAAGAATTCCAGATGGGTAATCTGTCTACTCCAGAGCCACCTGCTGCTTTAGATATGGGAAATAGGTCCCCCTTCCTAAGAGGAGCTCACTACAGCTAAGCTCTCCATAAATTGACCCCAGCCTACCCCTTCTGCTTCCTCTCTTCCCATAACTTTCCTAGCTCAACTCCAGCCATGTGAGTTGCCTGTAATCCTGGCAATAGTTCGGGCTTTGGATATGCACTGCTTTCTTCTTGGCATGACCCTTTCTGCATGTGGTGAACTCCTCCTTAGCCTTCAAGATTCAGAACTCTGAGAAATGTGCCCATGTAGCCCTCACCTTGCATGGTTAGCAGTTTTATGGTGGGCCTGAAAGATTAATTCCCTATAGATCACACAGACAGGGAGGATTTGGTATTTACTCCCAATGCCTTTCACAAGTGCCTGGCACATATTAGGGGTTCAAAAAATTTTGGTGGGATGGGAGGGCATCGTGATCCCCAGCCAAATAGGCTGAGCTTTAGAAGCAGGTGCCTTAGACACATCTTAGGCAGTGTAAGCAATTCCAGGTCCTACCTGATAGTGTGCCTAAGGGAATCAGTAAACTTCTGGAGGCTGAGGCTGCAGGTGGTATGTTTCAGCAGCTAGGCAGGTTTGGATAGTGTGTGGATACTCCGTGAACCAATGGCTCAACCAGAAGTGCAGACTGTTTCCCTTCAATCATCACGGACCCTTCCCTATTTCTTCTTGCCAACTAGAAGAGGGACATGCTGACAGCTTATCTCTGGGATGTCATGCCTAACCTCCTCCCTCTCCCCCAGTGGCCTTGGCACTTGTATTTCCCATTAGAGATGTTCCCAGGCCCCAAGGCCCCGTTCTGACATGCTGTGACTCTTGGCTTCACTGGCTCAGACAGCTGAATAGCTCCCAGCTTCCTGTAGGAGTTGAAAGAATTGAAAAGTGCTGAGAGTTAAGAGACCCTGCTTCAAGTGCTGGGTGTTGCCAATAGTTGGTCACATGATCTGGGACAAGCACCTCTCCCTTTAGGGCCTCAGTTTCCACACCCACTCTTTGTCTATCCGCTCCTCCAATCAAATGTTAGTGTTGACAGGGAATGCGAGTTCACCCAGTAAAAGCCTTTCTTTGTATAGTTGAGAAACAGGCCCAGAGAGGGGAAAGTGCATGACCAGAGAGACACTCAGGGGGCAGATGCAGGATTAGAACCAGGTGTCTATGCTGCCTGCCATGATGTGAGTTGGACTTTCTTTTACTGCTTTAAATGGAAGAGGTTGTGCTCCGAAGTTGCCCAAGTGCTCTGCACTTGGTTGACATAGCGCTTGGTGGCTCTCATACTCTTCTTCAGGCACTCAGTTCAGGGTCACATACCTCTTGAGCCAACCAAGGGCCAACCAAGCTAGTGCTGAGCCCTAAGTTCTACCCATTTTGGTGTTACTGACTACCTGTGCCAGCCCGGGCAAGTCTCTTCACTTTTCTGGGTTTATGGTATTTTGGCTATGTGAACCCCATTGGATTGTGAGCTATAGGGAACAGAGACTTGCCTGTCTCACTTTAATTCTAGTTCTTGGCTTTCAAAGTCATGTTTCTTAGCTCAAATTTTCAGAGAGAACCTGAATTATCCAAAAAGCGATGATATCTGCATTTGAGTCAGACCACAGAAGTCTTATGTCACCAGCCAGTGAGAGGACTGTCTTTTGGCTAGGGATTTATCCCTGGACCAATCACCTGAGGCCTACAGTGTTGTGTCTTTGGCAAATATAGTTGCTTCTTCTATGCTCTGGGGGTAGAAATACATCTTCTTAATCTCTATTTTACTGATGAGGAAACTGGCTCAAAGAGTCAAGTTCAGGCCACAAAGCTGGTCAGTGATTGTGCTGAGCTTAGAATTACAAAGCCCCATGTCCTTCTCTCCACTTCAGGACCAACAGTTGTGGACTGGTCAGTCACAGAGGGCAGAAGAAGCACACACACAGAGCTAAAGGGGTTCAGTACAGGGAGCGAAGTTTCCAGACAGAGAGAGAAATCTAGGAAGTCTTTTTGGAGGAGGTGGCTTTGAGATGGGACTTAAAGGACAAGCAAGAGTGGTGAAGAACATTCCAGGTGAAGGAAATGATGTGAGCCAAGGTATTTGAGGGAGGGATTGGGGAAGAGGAAACTGGAAGCAAGTGGGATATGCTGAGTTTCAGCATACATGGAGGGGAGGGGCATGAGACAGTTTGTATGCCAGGCCCAGAAGGAAGTTTGAGCTGGTTTAGAGAAGCAGTGGGGAGCCACTGAAGTTTGTTGAGCAGGGGAGTGACCTGATCAGAACTGTGCTGCCAGAAAATGTAAGAAGAGTTAATTAATAGTCTGTTTCTCCTGGGAGGCACAGGCTGTTTTACCTTCACTGTTGTCTTCAAGCAGAGGTGGGGAGGAATGGGGTGGGGCTGAGAAGATACTGGTTGACACCACCACCTTCAGGCAAGAACCAGAGGGGGAGTGAGGACCATGAGCAGTGCCCAGGGCTCCATGGCTGGAGGGGGGGCAGGGGGAAGAGCTAAAGATGTCTCTCGGTCCTGCCTTGGCCACCAGCCTCTGCTGGCCTGAGGTCTGGTCTGTGAGGCAGAGCACAGAGCAGCCTGTGCCGTCTGTGTGAGTTCTTGAGGGGTGAGATCTTTAATTTTTGTCTGCTGAGCCCTGATGGGCGAGGGGCCAGCCTGTGTTACAGCCTCCCTGAGGCCCCTGGGCCAATGCACTCAGACCAGAGTGGACGGAAACGGGAATGAGTCACGCAGACCGGCGGGCCTCGGGGTCTGGCTGCACCCCTCTCCCCCTTAGCTTGGTGGTGTCTGTGGCTTTTTCTGGGGAGGTTCAGGGTCTTGTGCCTAAGGATTTGGGGGTCCTAGAGAGCATCCTCTGCACCAGAGCAAAACTCATTGTCCCTGATCTAGAGGTGTGACCCAGGGAAAACAGACCAGGCTGAGGAGAGCAGAGGGTATCCTCTATCCTCTTCTCTTCTGTGAGGTGAGGATGTGGTGTGTGTGTGTGGGGCCTCCTGCTTGAGGCCTCTGAGCACAACTTATTCTAGAAAAGACCCCATAGTGCCCCTTCTTGTCCTCAAATTTCTGCACAGCCACCCCAGAATCCTGCACAGACCCCAAGACCACAGGCCTTTCCTCCTGGGAATTTGCAAAGAATCATCCAGTATATCATCATACACTCACCTCCAAGACGGCACAGGAAGTCCCTATGGTCTTCCTGGGAGGAATGTGAAGGAGTAGCTACTCCCATGGTTCTGCTTGGGCCTTTACAGCCTCTGCTTCCGAAGTTATGCTTCAGTCCCCAGCTCTAGATTTCACTCCAGCCAGAGATTGAAGGAATTCATGCAGGTAAGTAGGAACTGATGCCTCAGCTTAGAGCTAAATGCACAGAGCTTGAGCTTTCACATCAGCACTCCCTATGCCAGAGCCTGGACACCAAGGGAAATAGAATTAAATCAGTAATTTTGAAGAACGGCTCATTTCACCTCATTGCAGACTGTCCCGGAGTGAATGCAGTGTGCTGAAGTGGAAAAGGCACAGGCTTTGGAGCAGCTCAATGCTTTTTAGATGAATCCTGGCTTGACTCCTAGCTGTGTGACCTTGAACTTGAGAACTCACCCCTCTGGGTTTGTGAAATGGGAACTGCAGTGCCAGCACACAGTGTGCACAGACATTCACCTGTGCCCCTTCTCATTCCCAAAGAGAGAAACTGAGGGTTAAGATGCTTCTTATTCAACAACAGCAAACCATTTGATGCAGGGTAAACCTGACTCCCTTCTTCCTCCTTGGTCGGTGGGAATCAGATTCACAGAAACTTACCATACAGGCTTTTGTTTGCTTCCACCCAAAGTGGAGCTTTAGCTGGGAAATAGCCTGTGCCTGGTGGGGTGTGCTTGATGGGGCTACCTCGTGACAGCAATTCTGTGGGGCCATCAGCAATCCCACCACACCACAAATTCTAAGTTCTCTAGCTCCCACAGAAAGGCAGCTGAAGGTGGTCTCCCTCCCCCTGGAAGCTGGCATTGGTTTAGCATCTGCCACTAGACACATTAGGAGTGAGTCACTGTGTTACCACTCACTAACTTTGTCACTTTTTCTCCCTGAGGTTTCATTTCCTCATCTGTTACATGATGAAATAATACTGCTTCCTTCAGGAGATTATCATGAGGGTTAAATGAGAAAATAACTAAGAATGTAGCACAGTGCCTGGTACCTTTGAGGTGCTAGTGAATGGAATAGCACTGATCTATCTGCTCCTGGGACAGCTATCTAATTTGCCCTGAAGGAAGGACTAGCAAGAAAGAGCATCATTAGCTCCATTTTCAGATGAGAAAATGGAAGCCAAATGAAGCTCAGAACTGAGCTCCATGCAGAAGACAAGCATTCAACACAGAAATGTGGGAGACCCTTCCCAGAACACTTGCAGCAATAGGTCACTCGCCCAAATGCAGCAAGGGCATCCATACTGTGGCTGCCATGCTAGCATGACATCCTCACCTGGAGGAGAGGCATGCAGCCCAGGGAGGGTGGTTGTGGGTTCTGAGAGGTTGCGTGTCTGAGGTGGAGCTGTCCTGGCAGCCTCTGTGAACCTTGAAGGCCTCACACAGGAGGGACTGGGGGCCTCCTCCTACCATCTCCACCTTCAGATCTAGAGACTGAGGCTGCGAAGTGTGGGAGTTCCAGCTGCCCAGGGCCCATGAGCTGCTCCCATCTGGAAGGCCAGGGGCCCAATCACCCTTCCTCTGGCTATTCTGACCCCTGACTAACCAGGAAATGTGTTATTTGTTTTGAGCTGGGGAACAAGCTCTCCTGGGGAGAGGAATTCAGAGCTGGAGATCCAGTCACTTCCAAGGGAGAAAAATCCTTGGAATTCTGTAGGGAATTTGGGTCTCAGGAAAGGGAGCAGAGATGCAGTCCTTGTTTTTGGTCCTTATTTACGAGATTAGTTCAGGTTCTGGTAGCTATTTGGCTGCCAGCATTATTCGAGCATGACATGGGAAAGCAATTAGGTGGCCCTGTGCATCTAGCAGACTGCCATTTCCCTGTGGTACAGAGTCTGGGCAAATCTTGCCCTGCTAGAACCCCTTTCCAGAGATGGTTTCTCTCCAAGAGATGGGTGAGTAGTAGGCTTAGTGGAATTTTCCTGCCTCATTAGGGGTGGGGAAGTGACACATGGTGAATCAGGGGCCATGCTGGAAACAGCCCCCCTTTTCTTACTGGACAGAGAGGGTTGAGGGGGGCAGAAAGTTCTGATTGCCCCACATCTTCAGGGAATTAAGTTGTGAGCTACTGGCAGGGCAGAAAGCATTTGGAAATACACACTGGAAGTCCTTCGGTGGGGACAGCAGTGGGGTGGTTGAGAAGGTCCCACTTCAATTGTGGGGAGGGTCCAGGATTGAGGCAGGATGGTGTGGACTTAAAATCTTGGGCTCAGGTAGGAAATGAGTCAGATTGGAATCCTGCATCTGCTCTGTATCAGCTAGCTGTGTGATCTTGGGCAGCCAGTACCCATCCCTAGCCTCAGCGTTTTTTTGTGTATGTTGAAATCATAATGATACCTTTGGTTGGTTAAAGGAGCCAATTTATGTAGCATACAGTGCTTGGACCAACAATTTAAGCTCCATAAATTTTGGCAGCTTCAAAAGAAAAAAAAAAGAGCCGGGGATTTAGCTCAATGGTTTTGCCGCCTGCTGCGCAAATGCAAGGACCTGAGTTCAATCTCTGGTACAAAAAAAAAAAGAAAGAAACCTAAATTCAAGTGTTCATGAGAGAGGAGATTCTGCAGAGTGGCACCATGAGGTTACAACAGTTACAGAGAAAGGAGGTGTGGGGATTACATGGGAAGTGGGACAGAAGAGGGCACTAGGATGTGGGGAGCACAAGGCAAGCTTTGGAGGAGATTATCAGGGCAGGGGCCCTAGGAGAATAGGGTAGGAATTCTCAAGGAGCATTTGTGCTCAGAGAGGAGCAGGAGGGACGTTGGCTAGTGAGGGAAGTGTGTCTGTGTGAAGGTTTTGGCCAGGCGAGCAGTGAGAGACTGAATGGGCGGCAGACTTCCAGAAATGCAGACGGAGGAGACGAAGCGGTAATAATGACTTGGACACAGAGGAGGAAAAAACAGCTCAGGGACAAAGAAGATGCCAAGATTTCTGCCTTGAGAGGCTCTTGAGAATCTGAGGTGAGCATTCAGAAGAGAAGATCTCTGAAGGAACAGGTTAGGTAGTGCAGAGGGGAAGGGAGCCTGGAACTGCAGGGCTGGACAGATACCAGCAAGGGAGGGTCAGCACAGAGCTGAGGCTTCCATAGCTATGAAGAGAAACAACCAAGAATTCTGGGAATTGAAGTGGCATTCATTCCAAAATGCAAGGAGTAGGACTCAAGGGGTTCTTTAGAGTCAGTCCTAAAGATAGCAGGACAGGAACATGGACCAGTAGCTACCACCCAGAACTCAGTTTTTCTCTCTTAAAATGGATCTATTGTTGCCAGACCTTCCTACTTGAGATTATTCTGTCCAGTTAGCTATCCACTGAATGTGTATTTTTCAGCTGTCTATTAGGATCAAGCACTGTTTTAGGTGCTGGGGCAGCAGTGGTGAACAAGATATCAATTCCTTTAAAGATATCATTGTGGCTTGGAAAGTCAGAGAGTAAGTTTTATAAATGATTACATGAGACTTTTCCTATAATCTTAGCATCTCTGCAGAAACAACAAAGACTAGAACAATGAGAGCTAAATACTCTTACATTCTAAAGAGATGTACAGAACATCTTACTAAAGGAAGGGCAGGTTCAAGACTACCAACCCTTGGTTTCAGTGTACAGATGAGAAGGAGGAAGGTGGCTGAGGTAGAGTATGGTTACATTAGTAGACAGGGCTGAGATTTCCCGAGAGTACTCTTCAACACAAACCAAGAAAAGAGAGCCCTGAGGAGACCACTCACCTTCAAGACAAGGAGGCTTGCATGACTTCTAATCTTGGATCTTAAATGTCCTCCAACATCTCATGTGTAGAAGGTTTGGTCCTCAGCTGATGGTGCTATTGAGAGGTGGTGAAACTTATAATGGGTGGGGCCTAGTGGAAGGAAGGTAGGTCATTGGGGGGGCATATGTGTGAAGGGGGCAGTGGACCCCAGCCCCTCTTCTCTGTCTTTTGTGCTTTCTGGATGCCATGAAGCAAAAAGCTTTGCTCCACCACACGCTCCTTGTCATGAGCCTTACCACAGGCTCAAAGGAATGGAGCCAAGGAACGATGGACTGAAACTTCTAAAGCCATGAGCCAAAATAAATCTCTCCTCCTTTTAAGTTATCTCAAGTATTTTGCCCCAGTGATGGAAAACTAACTAGTATAACTCCCTACAGCAGTCCTTTTGCAGATGCTAGGTGAGTTGTTGGTAGTTGCAGGCACCCCAATGCAAAAAGCACAACAAGAAAGTTCTTAGGTAAACCAAAACTATGTCTTTAGCAACTAAAGCTGCAAATAAATGAAGAGACTTACATGCACTTCCTGTCTGGAGAATTGTGGCTATGGAGCCTGGCTGGAGTGACTTCATGGAGCCAATTCCTCATTGCTTTGCCTGGCATGGATTGGAATGTCTCCTGTGGGTAAGATATGCAAGGATCTTCAAGAGCTAAGCCAAAGAGTACTTTCTTTCTTCTTTGGGGGGGGTGGGGTACCGGAGATCGAACTCTGGTCCTTGCACTTGCGCAGCAGGCTGTGAAACCACTGAGCTAAATCCCCAGCCCTCCAAAGAGTACTTTCTATGTCAGTGCAGAGAGGAAGCCCCACAAAAACCCGCAAATGTGCCCATTAAAGATCCCATGCTTGCCACTTGCCAGCCAAGGGTACCTGCTACATACACTTTGCTATTTTTCCTCCAATACTTCTTGCCCAACCTTGACACAGAGGAGACACAAAAGGAAAATCAGAAAGGCAGCCCTTACCTCACTCTCCCCTATTGAGTCTCCAGCCAAAAGACAGCCTGTGTGGGAGAGGAGGAGTATTAAATTGGATGTGATATTGATTAAACTGGATGGGGTTTTGACTTAAACAGCAGTCTGTTTAGTGCCCAAAAGTTGGTATTAATTATAGAAATGAAAGTGTTCTTGTGTCTGGTAGAGGTGGGCAAGCCAAGGACTCTGCCTGAGATGTCATTGTAGGAAGGGAAGGGAAATTCCATATAATATGGTTGAAGGCAATAGTGCAGAAAATATGCTGCTTCTTGATTCAGAATCACCAATTCAAATGACCAGTTTCACAAGGAAATAAGATAATTTAAACCGGCCCTTAGAGCAATGAAGATAAAGTAGGGTGATGTGAGAAAGTGATAACTTCGGGGTGAGAGAGTTGTTCTAGACTTGCGGTGGGCAGGGACAGCCACCCCAGGAGATGGCGTTTGATCTGAGGAGGTAATGAGTAACGGTCCTGTAAACATCTAGGAGATGAAAGTTCCAGGTAGAGGAAAGTGGAACTCATGTGACTCCAGGAGCAGAGGACCAGCAGCTGCCATGGGATGGGCGTCTGAACAAGGGGGGTTGGGGGGGTCCTAAGATCAGAGAGGGAGTCAGTCCTGTAAGCCTCTGTAGGCTCAGGTAGAGAGTTGAGGATTTCTTCCAACATTAGGTGTTATCTGTGGCAGTTCTTTGTGTACTATGGGAAGTGGTAAGCCGGGCTCATTCACTCTGCCTCTTTAGGAAACAGTAGGCTGTGAAAATGTGTTCAGGGTATCCATATTTGTCCAGGCCTGTAGGTATTCGGTAGAGGGCATGGATGTGAATGATGAAATGATTATTGGGGGTATTCAGATGAGAGGTTATATCGGCTTTTGTACCTCATTCCTCTGCAGCCAACGCAAGAGGTGAGTACACACACCGGATTAATCAGTTCGTCAAATCCTCCTCGGCGAAATTCCTGAGGGAATGAGGGGCTAAGGTGGGCGTCCAAGGAGTGGATGCTGAGCCAGAGGCAGGAGGCCTAGATTTCATTTATTTCTTTGGCACGGGTTGTCTCCTTAAGAAACTTTATTCAAGAGGCTCCATATCTATGCCTCTGTGGAAAAGAAGACACCTTTGCTAGCAGCCGCCACCACCGCCCCAGCCTGAGGCCGGTCCTGACGCTGCCGGCTGGAGAGTAAACTCTAGGAGCCAAGGCGGCTGGCAGCGGCGGGTCTGCAGAACGCAGTTTGCCAAGGGCAAGGCCGGCTCCACTAGGGGGCGCGCCTTCCTGCACTGGGACGACCTTCGAGCTCTAGGCGGAGGTCAGCTCTCACGTGCTGTCCCGGTGCCACCGCAGCGGGCGCCCCCAGCGGCCAGGGCAGGAGGCGGAGGCACCAGGCTTCCGCACCTCAGAACCTGTCCCTGTCACTCGGGTCTCGGTACCTCTCCTGGCCTCCCTCAGACCTGCGAGGCTGCAGCCCCACACCCACTTAGTCGGTGAGGTCCGGGACAAGAGATGAATTCCGACAGGTGGGCAATTCGCCCAGGGAAGGAGGAAGGCGGCTCAGGTGTCCCTATCCAGGCGGACGCCATCTCCCCTAGCAGCCCCCGGGTCAGCTCCACGCAGCCCCCCAGCTCTTCACGGGTTAATCCCCCTCGCCGCCTGGTCGCTTCCCCGTGCCAAAGTGGGTGTTGCTGGAATTCCTCTCTCCCTCTCCCGTAATGAGGGGGCCGAGCTGTCTCTCCAGGAGGGGCCATGGTGTGGATAAAAGAGACGAAAAAACGGGGAGCTTTCCAAAAATAAAACGCTCCGGTTCCCCCTCGGACGGCTGCAGTGCGGCGGACGAGGCGCGAAGGTGCGGCGGCGGTGCGCACCCTGCTGGAGCCCAGCGCGGACTCGAGGCTCAAGGCGCGCGGCCCCCGCTCCGGGAGACCCGGAGACCAGGGCCCTCAGCCGGCTGCTCCAGGGGCCCCCAGACGAGAAGAAGCGGGCCGCCGGGCGGGTCCTGCAAGCAGCCTGCGAACGGTCGGGCGCACCCACTACAAACCCCCGTGCGGGCCCCAGCGCCCACGGCTCTCCAGCCGCCTTGGAGCCATGAGGCCGCCGCCCGCCGCCCGCCGCCAGGGGCGCGCCCTGTGGAATCCCTGGAGGGCCTTTCTGCCGCTCGCCCTGGCGCTCCTGGTGGGCACAGGTCATGCCCAGAGGGACTCCATGGGGAGATACCAGCCGGCTAGCAGGCAGGCGAATCGGCTGCGGCGCCCTGCGGGCGGCCACTCCGCAGCGACTGCAGCCAAGGTGTACAGTCTGTTCCGGGAGCAGGACCCGCCCGTCCCGGGCTCGCTGCCCTCGGAGCGGACCCAGCCGGCCTGGGGGAGCCCCAGGAGGGCCGCCGAGGAGGAGGCTGCGGAGGCCGGGAGCCCGCCCCGCGCGCAGCAGCCGCGCCGAGCCCAGCCACCTGCGCAGACCCGGAGAAGCAGCTCATTGGGCCCGCAGCAGCCCTCAGCCCGGGCCCGGGCCGCGCCGGCTCTCCCGCGCCTCGCGACCTCGCAGCAGCCGGGGGTTGCACCGCGAGGGCGGCTCACGGGGTGAGCACGGGAGAGGGAAGCAGGGTGCAAGGGGAGCGGGACCCAAGCGCCTGTGCGCGCCTTCGTGGAGAGATGCGCTGCAGAGGGCGCCCACTCTTGCCCTTTTCGCTCTGTCCTCAGTAGTGTGAGGAAACAGCTTCGAGTTTAGGCAAAGATCAACCATTTTCGCCCTTTCATACCAACTTACCCCGAGCCCCAACATCGAATCCGTCTTCGAGGCGCCCGCGCTCTTCCCGCCTTCAGCTTTCGCAGGCGCTCGCTGCGCTGCGGGCATCCAAGAGACAGCGGGGAGGGGGACAGCTGGGTGGGGGCTCGGGGCGCCTGAGGCTCTGGGGAGGTTGAGTCAGCGCAGGGCGCCGGCAGGTGCAGGATGTGTGTGGGTGGGGGGGGCCCAGCACGCGAGGATAGAAGCTTCTCCAGGTAGGGGCTACCGCGAAGCCCCTGCACAGAGACAAACGTATGGGCAGGGGCTCGGGTCCGCCTGGGCTTGCAGACGTCTGGATGTAGGCGTAGGCATGGGCTCAGGGGCCCTTAGGGCAGGAAACCTGACCCGAATGTGGCTGTGGCACAGTGCGTACATGGAAAACTGGATCGGTGTGTGTGTCGGTGCATCTAGGTGTCATTTGCTCGCTTTGCAGGGCAAAGCCTCCCTCCAACTCTGCGGCTTTGTTTCTCCATTTTTCTCTCCTCCCTCCCTCCGTTTTTTCCCTCCTTCCTTTTGCAGAACTGGGGATTGAACACAGGGCCTTTGCACTGAGCTACATCCCCAGCCCTTTATTTATTTATTTATTTAGAGACAGAATTTTTTGCTAAGTCGCTAAATTGCCCAGGGTTGCCTTGACTTGTGATTCTCCTGCCTCAGCCTCCCAGAGTGCTGGGATTACAGGCCTGCACCACCATGCCCAGATTAACTCTGCAATTTTTTTCTACTCCCCCCACCCCCGCCTGGCTAGATGGCTGACGCTGCTGAGGTGCCCCTCAACATCTCCTACTCCCAGTCTGGGATCATCATGGATGCAGAGTGCTGGGGGCACTCCTTGCCTGGGTATGTGAGGTGCCTTTGGAATGAGGGCACTGGAGCCCCCCATCAGTGAGGGGCTGTGCCAGGATCATAGAGAAATCTGGGAAGGGCTCTGGCATCCCTTCTTGGCCTGGGCTCAATTTTCCAGTTGGGTTTAGTCCCTGGGAACGTCATGGCACCTGTACCCCCTGTTTTGCTCACGAGGCCCTTCTGCCTCCTGCCCTTTGTACTCACTGTTTTCCATGGCTGAACATTCTTCTCTCATGTTCAGTAGGATTCATTCAGCTTCATTTAGAACTCTGCTCAGAGAAGCCTTCTCTGTCCACTCCTGTCTTATCCGCTCTCTCCCTTCACCCTGCTTTACATTCTTACAGAGCGCTTATTCCATCCAACATAGTGTATTTCTAGTTCTGCTTATGTGTTTAGGGCCTGGCCTCCCATCTTTCACTAATGTAAGTTCTGTGAAAGCCAGGACTTTGCTCATTTCTGTGTCCCCAGTGCCTAGAATGGTGTTGGTACACAGCTGCTGTTCCCCAAGTATCTGTTGAAAGAGTTAATGAACTCCCTGCTGACCTTGGGTTGTGCTGCCAAGTCCCTCCTGCACAAGATCATTCAACAAGTATTAATGGAGCACCTGCTGCATTTCAGGGTTTGTTTTTTTCCCCCTGACCTGTGCAAGTGAATGCTTGCTTCCTAAAAGTATGTGTGCTGCGCACCGGGAAGGAGACAGGACCCAGGGACCAAGGTATTACCCCTGCTGGGAGAGCAACCCAATTACTTAAAATCGAGTTGGAGAAATGAGCAGCTAAGTGCCGGTGAATGTGCTTTCTAGCACTGGAAGTGCAAAGAGTGGATCAGGGTGGCTGAGGACCTCAGAGAAGAGAGAGAGGCTATGTGACTTGGGTTCAGTGGGCAGCAGATGGGGAAGCAGAGGGCAGATGACCAGAGTGGGGCCAAAAAGTGAGGGTGGCAGGCAGGCATGGCACTACCCAAGCACAAGGGCTTTCATTCTTGGCACTGACCCAGGCTTT